CCTGCATCACCTCGTTACCAGGTCGATCATAGAAAGAACAAAATATCATGACCGGCTGCATTTGGTTAATATTTTGAAATACAAAATAAATTCTGTTTTGTCTTACACTGTAACTATTAATCAAAATCATATTTAATTTCTGAGTAATTACTTAACAATAAGAAGCCGCATTTTAAAACTTAGATGCGTACTGCCTAATTTGATAAAATTAAATTTACCAGAGTAGACTCATCTTTACGTTTTACGCTAATTTCGCTTCTATTTAAGTAATTTTCTCTAATTTTAGACTACTGTAATAACTTACAGGATAAAAGTTCGTCAACCCTCAGAAAACCTTGGGCACAAAAATTCATCCGATATTTTTATCTTAAAAGTGATGATGTTTTTGAAGAAAAATGGATGTTCGGAGCAGACTACGACATTGGATGTTCGGAATGAAAAGTAGCAACGAAACGTCTGAATGCCTCTTTTTATTCACAAGCGATGTGATATGTCCAGAAGAGGGTGGTTTAATAATTTTACGTATGTTCGTATCTCAATTCTGATAAACAATCAAAATTAGATGTACTGGAGTGGTAAGTGGTATCTTTCAAGTCCTTGACTTTGAATCGCATATATAAGACACGAAGTATATTTTATAAGCTTTCGCCCGAAAATTAAGATAATGGTGCATTTTTGAATTGCGGGTACCTTATATCCCTTGTCAAAGACCTATAACTACAGTATAAAATATATCTCTACATATATAATATGTATATAATATAATATATATACAAATATAAGAAAAGAGTCCGAACATAAACGGCAAAATCCTCATTAATGATAAATCTATTGACAAAGTTAAGCTTCACAAACATCTAGGTTTAATACTTTCATATAATCTGTCATGGACGTAACATATAGACTACATAATTGTCCAATGTAATAAAATTTTAAATATAAATATGCTACGATACGTTCTTAGGAGTCGAGTATTTAACAGAATTTTTAAAACCGTAACACTAAACGGCAAGGATACTTGAAGAAACTTATAAATCAATTTTACTACGAATAGTAAGAAAGCAGAAAAGTACAATCCTTTTGCAGATTCGACCCTACGAGACAGTAATCGTTTCTGCTTCTCATATTTTCTGTCTGAAAAAAGTATTTTCGAGAGTTGTGTCTTGAACATAAAATGTGATAAATTTAATTTTCTAAATTTCATGTGTTGAGACTAGATTTTAAGAAATAGTTCTTCATGGTGAAAAACAGTAAATACCATTTCCCATTTTGAAGATCGATTTGTACAAAGTTCCGCTCGGCAGATAAAATTTAGGAAATTAAATTTGCAACATTTCATGTTCGAGACACAACTCTCGAAAATGCTTTTTTTAGACAGAAAACACCAATCTCCAAAATATCTTCATCACTTATCAACTATTACATGTGTGCCTGGTAGCTTAGTTGATTAAAACGTCACGTACTTCCAATCTCAGTTCTGATACTGCGTTGTAGTCGGCGAGTTCGATTTTCGTTGGACACATTCTTTTTTTCTTATTTTTTGAGCTAGCGTTGTTCGGTTAACCAGACCCACCAACCACCCAGTTAACCTATTTGATAACCACCCTCTTATTCAATATATTTCATCTTCGGAGCTAGCCTAATCGGTCGGTTAACCTAGTTGTCAACCTCCCGCTCCGACTCGATTATGATAACCTAGTACTCGGTTCACTACCAGGTTGGAGCTAGCTAACTAGGTAAAAAGATACATTTACCTAGATCCATCAAGCGAATAACCGCCCGATTATGTATTCGATGGAGCTAGATTCTCTCCTTAAAGCATTTTTGCTTGGGTACAGACGTTCGCATTCATTTCTCATTCTCCTATAGTGTGTTATTAATTTACCTTCAAAAAATAATTTGTTCTTATAAGTCTACTGTTCTATATACTGAACAGAAAAAAGTTTTCTAATAGCAAGATCACACAATAGTTAGTACTGAAAGACTATTTTATTCACGAAAAGTGAGAGTGTATTATATTATATACGTCGTCTGCTTTTGAAAAGTACTTCAGTCACTTGTTCATTATTGATCCACGCTTCGAGTAAATGACTAGTGAAATCTCCAATACTGATTCGAAGGCACTTTTAAAATGTTTCTCTCCTCAAGGTATCACCAAGAGACCGCTTAGACATACTACAAGATGTTTGTCCTTCAAAACTCAAAAAGGTTAATTCAAAATTAGATTTGAAAGTAATCAAACTGTTGGTGAACAAATTGCACGTTGGTATTCTCACATCTATCTATATGAAGAGTACCGTATTATATTTTTCAATCTAGGACTGGAATAACTGATAATATGACGATGACGCTGAAGGATTTAGTTCTTCTGTTACCCTGTTTATTTTACCTAAGTGTGAACGGTGACTTAAATGACGATCTTTCACGAGGTCTGTATTTAAATAATGAATCAATGGTTATACGTGCATATCAGGCAAGTAGTGGAAATGATATTCAGTTTAGTCATTATCCAGAAGATTGTGCCGAATATTATTTAACCGGTTATAAGTATGATGGAATCTATGAAATATGGCCAAGGGAAGGTATTTTGACAGTTAACGTACCACAGACATTCAGTAGTTTTCCACTAAACTGTCAATCAGCTTCGGAATGGTTTTGATACTGCATGTAGCAGAACTATTTCATTTTCTTCTCCGATTATAACAACTTTTTCTCCAAAGACGCAGTCTCTAACTGCCGTAGCAGCCATCTAATTTTTTCTTATTAACCTAGGAAAACCGTTCCGTGTCTTCTGCGATATGACCACAGATGGTGGCGGTTGGACTGTTTTTCAGAAACGTGGTGATTATACTCCACTAGTAGATTTTTACCGCACATGGTTGGAATACAAGCGTGGCTTCGGTGATTTGGAACGGCAATATTGGCTCGGTAATGACCGCCTGTCCATGTTAACAAATCAAGACTCGTATCGTCTACGGATAGATTTGGAAGATTTTGATCGACAGAAAAGATTTGCAGTTTATCATAGCTTTTCTGTTTCAAATGAATTGGATAAGTACCGAATGAGTTTAGGCATGTATCTCAACGGTGATGCTGGTGATTCCTTATATATTCAAAACGATCAACGATTTTCGACTAAAGATCAAGATAATGACAGTGGAGTACGTGATTGTGCAAAAGTGTTTAATGGTGCATGGTGGTACAACGATTGCCACCAGACGAATTTAAATGGCGGTTACCTGAGAGGCTATCATCCAACGGTACTTGGAACAGGTGTGAGTTGGTACTTATTCCGTGGGAACAACTATTCCTTAAAATCAACTGAAATGAAAATTCGTCCAATATGGTTTAAACCATAGACAAAAGGTTTTCATTTTTTTCGAAGACATTGAGACATGCGCAAATTGTAATTCTCAAATTAAATTAATAAAATTTTCATTGCTTAGATTTAACTGCCATGGAAAGCTGGGCCGCAAATAACGGGAGGGTGTGGAAGGATGCGCACCCTCCCGAATAACTGAAAAAGCTGTTCGTATTTTATCTATTATTCCTCGCACAAAACTTCAACTCGTAGCGTTGGTAGGCGATTCGAATTATAATATGTTCGTTGTCGAATCGGCCCTGCAGTTGATTGTATCCGACGCTCTTCCTGTGATATTTGGTCAAAATAGTAATCACTTCAGCTAGTTGGGCAGCGGGTATTGAATAGGTTATGAAGAACAGTTCGACTAGTTGTAGCGTACGATTCAGCGGCCGTTGCAGCTAGTTTCAACCAAAAGTAGCTGCAGCTAGCGATGTACTGGGCGCTGCAGCTAGTTGGGCAGCGGGCATTGAATAGATTATGGAGAACAGTTTGACTAGTTGCAGCGCCCAATAAATCGCTAGCTACAGCTACTTGCACACTGTTTTATACTGGGAAATTTTCTTACCCGCTGCAGCTAGTATTGAAGCGGGTTAGCGGGTTTGTCCCGCTGCAGCTAGCACCCGCTAAATTTTACTCTTTTAGCTAGCTGCAGTCAATGGAGAAGCGGGCGCTTCTTCAGCAAGTGCAGCTAGCTTATTTCTTATGAAATTTCATGCTTGGGAACCAAATGAAATAGAAACTTCTTTTTTTCAGTACTGAATAACCATCTTTAAATAAACAAACTAAAAGAAAATTATTAAGTTTTGTTCAGTAGAACGACTTTTGTAAGCAAAACAATGGGTGAACAGCAACGGTGCAATGCCAATGCCATTCTCTCATATAATCCTAGTCTTTATTAAAAAAATCAACGACGAGTACCCACGACGGCCATTGACAAATGACCTATTATTATATTTTAGAAATCGAATAGAATAATTATAACAGACAGACAATCATTCATGTCGTTATATATGAATAATAGGAGAGTCGGACGCATAATATTTTCTTTCCAGAAAACTATGTATATTATATGTTTGAAACATTTGATTTTTCATTTTTTACTTTCTTCATTTTGTTGTAAGTCTGTTCAGCGTACTTTCGTATGAAATACTTGAGAAAATTTTTTATATGTTGAATCATCGTTACAATCATTGTCATCTCTATTAAATCTATCATTAACATGTAAAAAATGGAGCAAAATTTCATTAGAAAATTTGATGCTTGTTCCGCGCTGAACCAAATTGGATCAAAAACTGGGCGCCAAATGCAAAATTTGTCGGTGAATCCGACAGTGGGTTCGTTATAATTACATCTTCACGTCCTTTTTGGCATCGACATAATCAACGTGGTTTTTGCCTAAATTTTATTTTTCTCATTGGCGCCTTTTTTTCAACCAATGAGAAAAATAAAATTTAGGCAAAAACCACGCTGATTATGTCGATGCCAAAAAAGAAGTGAAGATGTAATTATAAGGAATCCGCTGTCGGATTCACCGGCAAATTTTGCATTTGGCGCCCAATTTTTATCCAATTTGGTTCAGCGCGGAACAAGCATCAAATTTTCTAATGAAATTTTGCTCCATTTTTTACATGTTAATGATAGATTTAATAGAGATGACAATGATTGTAAGGATGATTCAACATATAAAAAATTTCTAAGGCAGGCGCCAAATTTTCTAATGATTTACCATGAATATTTTTTAAATAAATATTATGTTAAATTTTTTAAAAAAAAATAATGATATATTATCATTGTATGAGATTAAAGAAAGAGATGATCAACTTATTATATCATCATTATCATTTATCGATGACAATCATCCTAAACATATGTTCGGTGTATCACTTTTATTTTCAAAACTTTTCAGTAAGTAGTTACCTGTAAGTATTTCGAAACATATTTCATTTGAATTCAATTCTCAGTTTACGCATATTTCACTATAAAAAATTTTAGGACATGTTTTTATGAGCTATTGTGAGAAAGTCAGACGGTGTTAAGCATAAGGTTATACTCACAGTAACGCATTAAGCTAAAATTTTTAAGATAAATAGTTAACACTAA